GAGAGCTCCGGCACGCAGACTCCCAAAGGTGTCCCGAAAGATCCTCAGCAAACTCCAACTCTGCATGCCGCTAGCCGCAGAAGCACCGCTCTGCACTCTGCTCTCTGGCACTCCGCTCCCCGCTCTCCACTTCGGGGCCCGTCGCCTCTCAGCGCACTGGCCTCTCTCCCTCGCTCGCAGTGCCCGACCTGCGAGGCTTGTGAAAAGTTGGACCACGGAGCCGCTTTGCTGCAGGCATCTCAGAAGCATCAGACGCGTGCCTCTCCAAACGGCGGCCGTCCCTTCCCTGCGCTTCGCGGCCATGGCCCGCACGGCCCGGCTGGCGGCCTTGCTGCTGGCCCTGCTCTGCTGGACCCACACGGCTTCAGAGCGGTGCGAGACGAGATGGCGCCCAGGCGCAGGACCTAGGACTCGTTTTGACTCTGTTCAGCCCAGAAATGAGATGTCAACCAGCACCCCCGCTCTCCTGAATCGGGCAGACACATACTCATGACACCTTATGACGGCGAGACATAGAGTTAGAATACTTGAGACGTTGGGCATATCACGCACTCAGCGCGGTCACTGGATGGATCTTCCGCCCGTTCTGTTTGTCCCCAGCCCGCGGCCGCACCATGCTGGCCAGTGAATCAGCTTTGCGGGGCATGCATTTTGTAAAGGTTTAGGCCCAAAGCCCCCCGGAAGGATCTGAACGGATGCCCTGAGGCCGGGCCCGAATCCCGCAAGATTGTTGGACTGTTGGGCGACATCCTGCTTCTTTGAAACGCATCGCGCACTCCATCCACACCCTCACTTTCCACGCCTCCCTACCCATCCCAAAACAGGGTCGTTGACTGGCACTATGTAGACGTACGGTCTATTGCAAGTCGAACGGTCTCAGTCCTCAGCTAAGGATGTGAACACCTTGCTCTCGGTGCACCAGCATCGTGCGAACAACTCAATCGATGCTACCGGGGTTCGACACTCGCAAGTGTCGGCGCAGTCAAACACCAGCGGCATCCGAGATGAGTTCAATGCCAGCGACGAGCGCTTCGCCGAGCAACTCGCTGCTATTCAAGCCCGAATCGATGAACGGTTGGCAGCGTCCGACAACCCCAACTCACTGCCCGTCGTCATTGCCACTGCGATCGAATTCATTGCCGAAAAATTGGCTGACGTGGATGTAACCGTGGTGGACATCGCCAGGAACTCAGTCTTGCAGCAATGTGCGTCATGTGCTGCGGTTCACATCTGAAACACGCTTGCGAGAGAAGGAATGAGCGGGGAGGGAACGCGGATTCGGAACGAGAGAGATGAATTCACATGCGGATGCATGCTGCCACAGGATGACGAGATCGGTGTCGCAGATCAGGACTCTGCATTTTGGCCTTCCCCCAACCATGGTGTAACAGCCGCCTTTTTCAGTGCGAGAAGACATTGCGCAGGTCCTCGCTCTCTTACGGGGCTCTCCTAGGCTTTGGCAAGCAACGCCCGTGTGCGTTAGCGAAGCGCTGCTTTGCCCCGCATGCCAGGAGACGACAGAGTTGAAGGCAAGAGTCAGTGAGCTCGAAGCCAAAGTGGAGTGCCTCTTGTTGAGAGGGCCTCTGAAGCGCCGATGCCTTCGAAAGCTGATCATCAGCAAGATGAGTACGCTGCAGGCCCGCGCGCGCCCGCTCTCAAAAACAAAGCTAAACCTCCTCATTTCGGGGGGGGGGAGCTGAGCTGCCTTTCAGCTGCCTCTTTGGCCGCAGAGGCGGAGGAGACTGAAGCAGAAGCAGCGACGGAGAGGAGCGAAAGGAGCGAAAGGAGCGAAAGGGCGGCGGCGCGGGCGGCGACCTCGGAGTCGGCTTTGTTGCTCCCCAAAGGGAGGGCTCTTCTTTAGGACCACGAGATCTCTAGAGGAGGGCTTAGGAAGGCACACTCTCTATGGGGGATCCTCCGTCTCCTTTTCTCCACGCTTGAGCTCGTTTCGAGGCAGGGCGAGCTGCGCGAAGAAAGGAGAGCAAAGTTTGGTCCCTGGCTTCAGCAGAATTCCCTTCTTGTGCCTGGTTCTTTTTTCTTTTTCTGGTGAATCGAGTGATGGAATCTGGTGCGTCGAGAAGCTTCAAGATAAGTCTGCCAGAGAGTTGAACCATTCCGAGCGGAAGAGTAAGAGTGCCCTAGACCCTAGACCTCCATTTGCAGAGAAGCCTGACCTGGAAGCGGTTGATATATCCTCATCGAAGGCACACGGCAACCAAGAAGGACGTGGAATCCAAGTCGCTGGCGGCAAAAGACTGCTTCATTGCGCCGGTTCTGAACGTCAATGCGGAGCGCTTGTTCCTTGACCTCGGGGGGTACGATTGCTTTCCAAGCTTCAGGTTGGGAAGCTTTAATGTCCAGTGGCCATCTGCAATCACCTCCGCCTTCGATGTCGTGGCTGGCTGCATCAACGAAAACAACAAGCTGTCATGCCTCGCTTTCGAGGTTGCCAAGCAGATTCCCTTCCTGGACAGGTTCACCAGCGATTGCACTGACCGGAATCAGATCTTTTCATGTGTGGCCAGCAACATCAAATCCAGCCTTCCGATCATTGGTGATTGCGAGAGCTTCGGATGCATAGCATCAGAGATCACGCAGGAAATCCCCTTTGTCGGTGCTTGGGTTGAAGCTTGCAGCGAGGAGAGCAACGTGATCCTCTGCATGGGCAACAGGTTCTTACAGGACGTGCCAATCTTCCAGGCCGTCCAGGAGTTCTTCGTGGAAATCAAAGACTGTGTTTTGGAGAGAAGCGCCGTGGACCTCGTCTCGGCCGGAGGTGTCGTGGCCTTCGGCTGCTTGTTCCAAAGAATGGCCCAGGACATCCCGGTGCTCTCAACGACCGCAGAGATGCTCGGACGGGTCACCGACTGCATCAGCAGCAACACAAGCCCAGTGACCATCTTTGCAGGCGGTGCGATCTCCTGGGGCTGCTTCATCTACGAAGTGGTTCAAGCAGTCCCTTTCATGAAGAACGTCTTTGACATGCTGAACCCCTGCAACGAGGGTGAAAACGTCTGGGACTGCGTGGTCAGATTCGTTGGCGAGATCCCTCCTTTCAACTACCTGAAAAAGGTCCTGGAGGCCGGCAAAGACTTCATCCCCTTCGTGATCACCAAGACTGTCGAGTTGTTCCTGAATGTCGTCCAGTTCTTGGATCCCCTGGAGAACTCCCTGAGCCTTGTCCAGGAGAATCACAGCAAAAAGTCGCCTCTCGTTCACTACGATGATGGCCAAGCAAGGCCCGCTCGACTGGCAAAGCCGTTCTTTGCAGCCCTGATAAGAGCCCCCAAACGCCTACAGCACTTGTTTGCCCTGTGCCAGGATCGTGTCCTTCCTCCAAAAGGCGGCCAAGAGCCCCCTCACGGGAGTTTCGCACAGGAAGACAGGGAGCGCCCTGCTGCAGGAAAAGGCCAAGACGAAGAATCCCGTGAGCTTCTGGAAGCAGAGAGCCGGACATCCAGACGCCTCCGATGATCCGGGCCTCTTCAGCTTCGACTTCGGGCTCAACGGAGAAGTTGAGCGCACCGAGTTGATCACACAATTTGGGGGCAAGGAGGATCACACTCTGTCATGCCTGGGCTATGCCCCAAAACGTGCAAATCTGGAAACCGGCGTGCAGCCAGAGGACTGGAAAGAAACCGAACCGGATGAGTTCATTGAGCTGACGCCCTTTGCCATGCCCTGCGGGTTGGATTACTACCAAGACACGACTAAAACCAAGGACTGGCAGGGCTTTGCTCCCTTCACCAGAGTCTTCGCGGTGGAGAAGTGCATGACGTTCAACCAGCAGTTCAACTTTGGCTCTTTTTCATTGGGTGTGGCAGCACTGGGGGATTGGAAGTTCGAGCTTCCAGAGCCCAACATCGCCCTTGAGGTTGGGCTTTGCTTTCCGTGGAGTGGAAATCAGGTCCTCGGCTTATTATCCCAGCTCGAGCTTGCCATAACGGTGGTCGCTGTGGAGGTCATCCGCTTTACCTGGCGCTGGAACGACTTCACCGATGGGAACGATTTCAGGTTCCAAGCATCGGAGCTGAAGAGCACCTTCATCTGGCCAGATGTGCTGGAGGGCAACCTTCGAGGAGGAGCTGGGCCACGTGGAACGCCCATCGTCTTGCAACAGAAAGCTGAAGAGAAAAAGGCTGAAGAAGCTCCAAAGTCGACGACAAACAGCTCCTCGCGAGCTCCTCGGCCTCCCCGGTCTGCGGGGATGTGGCAACGAGATCTCACCTTCAGAAGCTTGCGCATGGAGAACTCAAGCAAGCCTGTGGTGGATCAGGTCTACAGAAACTCCCAAGCTTTGAAGAAGCTGGGTCATAAGACGCGTCGCAAAGCATCTCTTCGACAGCAGACAAACGCAACCTCAGGGACAACGATCCCGCTTCTTGCGTTCGATTCGGATTCCGTTTTGCCAGGCCTGGCAACGCCCCAACCAAGATGCCCCCCCCCCAGCAAACCGAAGAGTACTAGATGCAGTGCCAGCGTAAAGATCTACACAAGTACGATCAAACATAGCCCGTGCGCATACCGCAGAATGCCGTGAGCAAACTAGAAGCTGCTTGCACCCTCTTTGGCAGACATTTTGAAAGATCTCTTCGGCGCTAGCTTCGAGCTGGTCCTGGACCACGGCGTCATCAACATGAAGCTCAACGGCCGCGTTTTGACCCTGAATTCTCCGGAGGCCGGCGTGCACAACGGAGACCTGAAGGGAGAGGGGCTGCGCACCGTGACCCAAGGGTTTGGTATCTAAGGTGGACGTGAACCTCCTGGACTTGCCAGGAATCATTGAGCAAATTCTGAATGTGGCTCTGGATGATGATGACAATGAGCGTGGTGGCTACGCCAAAGAGACAATCCGCTCAGTCTTCAACAGCGATGAAAATCCGCTGGATCCAGCCGTGCCTTGGCTGACGACAGCTTTCGCCTTGTCCCTCCGCGAAGGGGAAAAACGGAGAGTGTCGCTGCGAGGCTTGGGAGGTCGCCGCCGTGACCACAGAGGAGCTGGGCCTCTCCTCTGGCTGGCACCTGAGCCTATGCAAACCCTACACACACCAACTCTTCCTCTCGCTTTGTCTCTTCCCTCTCTGAGGCTCAGGCCGGAGGGGGTGCAGAGCAACAGCGACGGCAACGTCACAGGCTGGACCTCCACAGTCGAGATCGGCGGCAACACCATCAGCTTGGGGGCTGCTCCGGCTGACCCGAAGGACCCAGAAACCTCCACACATATATACACGATGCCATTCTTTACCAAAAAATGATGTGGTTGTTTTAAAGTTGTTTGTCAATTGTTTAACTCTTGTGCCTAAATGATTGTCGTTTGTTGTTGCACGCGTTGATGTGAGGGCTCCTGCAGTAGGTTGAGGGTTGGGTGCTGCTGTTGGCCATCATTTCTTCCAGACGACCGACCCTATACGTTCGGATTCTGACGCTGCCAAGAGCGAGACAGACTACTGTATCAGGTAGGGTCTCTTGCTGATGCAGAAAGCCGTATGATTGGACTAGACATTCTTGTACTGGAAGCTCTTCATGCGGGCACGAAGACTTTCTATCTGTTCACTGGATGTCGCAGTCGTAGATTCCGTTTGTAATGCCTCATCCTCATCATCGACAGTGACAGCCAACACAGTTCAATCGGTTTTGTCTGTCCTTCCTCAGACAGCCAAATTGATGTTAAGAAGGCGTTTGGTTCTGCTGTTATTTACGTAGCCTCGGTATACGCACAACACTGCCGACAACGAGGCACCACACCCCATCGGTTTCGGCATGCATAGAACCCGCCATTCAAAGCAAACATCCGATATTCACTTGGGCCGGCAGGGAACTTGCAGATGTTCAAAGTCTCTCAACAAGACCAAGCGGAAAACAGAATTTTGAGAGGAATTACTGGAGGGTCTGCAAGTCACATGAGTGCTCCAGAGACACTGCTGGCAACCTAGTCCTTCAGTACGAAACGGCAAAACCCTACAGCCTCAGAACGCGTAGCCATGGCATGTAGCCCAAAACCCTAAACCCAGAGGAGCCGGTACTGATGACGGATCCAGTGAGTTGTTTGCCGCTGGTGCGCTTCGGCCTGGAAGGCGGCCCTTGGCAGCCTGTGGTGTGTGCAGAGACACACAGCACCTCTCTGTACATACACACATGTACGTACATGTACTTGTAGATACTAGATTCTAGATAGCACGTACACCAGGGAATGGTGCCAATCTCGGCCCGACCATGTCACCTCCACATGGCCAATAGGTGGCCAGTATCGGCAGATGTGTGGAGCCAGTGTTTATGCCGCCTCCTCTGAGCAACATGCCGCCATCACACCATAAAACACCTGTGTTTGACTACTTCGCACATGCCTGTCGTCGCCTTATGCTTGGTCAGTGTTCCGATCAAAGCCTCGTTTCAAGCCAATTGTTTAGGTTGATCTGCTTCCCACACGGATCCTGTCCTCGTGCTCGGTTTGCGTCGTCTGCTTTTATATTTTATATATATATATATATGCCTATATCCCCGGTCATAACCTTGAGTGGTGCTTCCAGAATCTGTGTCTCTGTAGCTGTCCTTGTTGCGTGGCGAAGTCGTGCCTCAGTGGCGTGAAATGCAGGATGTTTGTAGGTGTTTCAAGGTAGACCCGACCTGCCCAGGGCGCGGGAGGCTCTCCATGTCCTACCATCCCTACAGCTCCGGGGCGGGCTTGGAGGTTTTTCTGGTGGCTGCCGTCTTCGGCGACGACCAGGGTGGGGAGCCCCAGTTCCTCTTCGACTTCGGCAGCTTCCCGAGCGCGGGCTACGGAGCCATGTTCCAGAGCCGTCGCTTCAAGGCCTATGCATCAGGCCTGGGATCGGCGCATGCGAGTGGATACCGTCGCGAATCCCTCAGTCTAGGGGCCCTAAACTGGCTTGAGTAACCGAAGTCATTGCGGACAATGCAACCGACGACAACTTCTTGCACTTGTACCGAGTGTGGAGAGCTCAGTTGGAAGCCGTGGAAAGCTCCGGGCGAAGCCCCGGGCTGAGCTCAGGCGATTCGATCTGACTGCTGGCCAGCTGAGCATCTACAGGGATGGGCAGCTCTTGAAGAGCGCTGCTTTGAGCGCCACCAGCCTCAACGCCGAGAGCATCGACGAGGCTCAGGGCTGCTGTCGCATGTAGCCTCTCAGCAGATGCCGGCGGTGCTGTCCAAGGCAGAGGCCTTCACGGTGGGTGGCCAGGCCAGCGCTGGCAGCACAGACTTGCGCTACTTCCGGGGCATCTTCGGCGAGCTGCTCCTGCCGCTTGACGTCTAGTCACTGCCTCTCGCCACACACACGGCTTTTCATGTGCTCTTTTCGAGGTTCAATGGGCTGCTGGACGACACCGAAGCAGCAGGCATCGCTTTTAACTTCGAGGAGAAGTGGCTGCTCAACCAGGTCCAGAAGATCTGTGGCGAGGCGAAGGGACGGCAGTTTCTGGGCCATCTTCTTTTCTGAAGGCCTTTCTTTTTCGGATGCCAAGGTGACGCCGGCAATGTGGCTCAAAGCGGATGAGCTATCGGATCCCGTGGCTACGTGGAAGGACAGCTACCAAAACGAGTTGCTGGCATCGCAAGCAAACCCCGCAATCGTGACCGCGACGGACAGCCCGTTCCTGCGGACCGTCCAGTTCGGACCCATCACGCCACTCAGGTCAGCGACACCAGAGAAACAACTTGCCACAGCTCAGGGTCCCTAAGTACGTGCCTGACATATGTATTCACACCGTATACCGAAGACCATACTCCGTAGTCTCATGCACGTCTTGTGACATGAGGGGTGACAAAAACGATGCCCACGGGTCTAGGAGAAGGCGGTGGGGCCCTTACGGCAACAGTGTGTCATTATCCATGCTGAAAGTTGCAAATGATGACTATGATAACGAAAATACTCAATGCCTTCGTCGGCCTGAACATACTGTGCAGCATCTAGCCGAATCTAGCCTCCAGAGACAGCCGTTCCAGTACCATGCCGTACCCACAGTACCAGAGAATGGTGTGCCTTGCCCGGGTTCTGCAAAAACCCTTGAAGCGAAAAATTGCTGCCCAAAATAGACAGAATTCCTCTGAGGTACGGCGGAGGTCTCGGCAGTTTCCCGCCGAGGCTTGTAAGTGGGGGCAGCATCGACATATGGCTTTTGATAAAGCCCGATGCCACGACCGTGCAGAGGCCCAGTCTGCGCCACAGTGTTGTGGTTGACTTTCCGACAAAACTCAAGACACAAAGCGAGAAAACGTTGCCACGACTTCGGGGTTACAGGCGCTGAGTTTGCAATGTGGCTGATGTTTTGTTGTTGGGCTGTGATTGGGGTGAGGGCTTTCGTTTCGGGCTCGAGAATGCAGAAACGCAAGTCACAAGTCCAGAAGCTTACAGCGTGGCACAAAGCGACAGGCAATTCATCTTCAGCTACGGCACGTTCCCGAGTGCTGGTATTGCCGTGACAGTGGACAACACCCTTCACATTCATGCGTGTGGCGAGACCGTGGACTTCGATCCAAGCTACTTCTTACGAAACGAATTAGCCCTGTACGAGATCTACTTCCAAAAAGAAAGTCGCGGCGGCCTTCTTTTTGGCGTGAATGGTCCGGAATATGGCGCTGCCAGATGGGTTTCGGAAAGGTGGACTGCAGATTACCTGGACGACGCGGGCTTTGTGATAGGCCGGCTTGCTGTGCATGGTTAGAACGTTCTGGCGAGTTTTTGACAGTTTACTGCTGTTTCGGGTACTCGGTGGAGCCTGCACAGGCGGACGAGCGAACCAGGAGACGACAGAAGCGTATACGGGCATTCTGGCAGAGATGCTCTTCTTTGATGTGCGCGTCGACTGGCAAGCTGGGTACTTGGATGAAGTCAAGGCCATAGACGACTACATCTTCAGGAAGTGGGGAGCGGTTACGAGGTATCGGGGTCTTCAAAGCATTGATGTTTGGCCACCGGCATGACACTGATGCGACAGATGCACTTGAGCCAGAATGGCTTTTGCGTCTCACAAATGGGAGCGTGCCAGTTGTAAAGCAAGGCCCGGCACCGGGCCCCCTGCGGCATGCCCCGCAAGAAAGGTATGTAAGTTGCAGGGTCTCTGTAACACGGGCCTCTATTTTTTCAGAGAGCCCGCAGACCGCGTCGCGTAAACAGCTCCGCACCGATACACCGATACACCGATATATCCTCCCTGCCCGCATCGGCGTATCGGCGTACCGGCGTAT